CAGTTTATACGAGGGAAGCTTTATTTAGCGTGTACCTATTGTTTCAGAAAAGTAGAGATATCAGCTGTGATGTTTTGCATGCCTGATTGACTAAAAGAAGGCTTTCGATAGAGTCAGGTATGAAAAAATTATGGAAGTGCTGTAAAGGACAGGTATTGATGGAAGCTGCCTAAAAATAATAGCTAATCTGTATTGGAATCAATCAGTGGTATTCCAAATAGATGGAGAATATACAGATCAGGTCAAAATCTTAAGGAGAGTGAGAGAGGCGTGCATAATTTCACCACTGATATTCAAATTGTACTCGGAGCACATTTTTGAAGAGGTTCTAAAAGATATTGATAAAGGCATCTTAATAAATGGAATCAAGATCAATAACCAGCGGTATGCAGATGATACAATATTGTTTTCCAATACCATAGAAGGGCTGCAAAACTTAATGAACAAAATAACAGAAACAAGTAGAATAAATGGACTGGATATAAACACCAGCAAAACCATACTAATGATCATCAGCTAGGAAAACATAACTGGAGTGAATCTGTATGTGAACTAAATGAGAATTGAACGTGTCTCACAGTACAACTACTTGGAAACTATAATCAATGAGTCGTGGAACAATATCCAAGAGATTAAATATCGCATCGTAAAGGCAAAAAGTGTATTCTTGACTATGAGTTCTATGTCATGACATCACCCTTGAAACAAAAATAGGGCTCCTTAAATGTTACGTGTACTCAGTGTTTCTATACGGAGTAGAAACGTGGATATTGAAGGCGGAAACTCTATCAAAACTTCAGGCTTTTGAGCTATGGTTATATAAAAGGATCATGAAGATACCATGGACAGACAAAGTCACCAATGAAGAAGTACTTCTGAGGTTGAACACAACCGAGGATTTGGTCAACATCGTCAAGGACTGTAGGCTGCAGTACTTGGGATATATACTGAGAAATCAAGGCGCGTATGAGCTACTCCAATGCATTTTGCAATATAAAATTAAACAGAAAAGGGCCCCAGGACGAAGAAGAATATCCTGGATTGCTAACCTAGGAGAATGGTATGGAAAGACCTTTACACAGCTATTTCGTATAGAAACCAACAAAGTCATCATAGCCAGAATGATCGTCAACGTTTGGAACGGACAAGCACCTTAAGAAGAATTACCCCACAATATTGAACCGTGGAGATTCAAGAGAGACATTACAAATTGATTGGAACCCTTTGAGCTATAGACCTATGCAAACATACTAAAATAACCTGGGTAGATAGAGTGACGAATCTTAAGGTGTTAAGAAAAGGAGAGAAAAGGCAAAGGAATTTTGAACACCATTAAGATATAGAACATATTTATAATGGTAGGGTAATATTATGCTGCAAGTAATGCTGCAAACAAAAATACAAGGAACAAGGAGACCTATTTCCTGCATGAACAATTTCAGGGATCGGTTTAGATATATTTGACTTTTTCAGCATGCTGAACTTAAAAGTGAGGATTATCATGCATATTTTGAGCCTTTTAAGAGAAGATGGTACATAAAGATGTATATAAAGGGGAAGAATACTATCCAATACCTACGTTTTAAGACATTTTAGATTTAATATGATTAAAGTCAACGATAAAGACTTCGCTTTGCCTACGATACAGACCCCGGTAGAAAATCTGCAATATTTTTAAAAAAATATCCACAAAAGATACCTAAAAGCATGATGAATAGTCAAATAACTTACTTACTGCTCTTAAAGCTGCGATAGTATCGTACTGTCTTCCAACCAAAAACCGTTTTAGGAATCTCTCGTCTAATCTGTTCACTTTATTTTCTAAAAAACATAAATCAATGTTTTAATCTCTATGACACCACACTAAAACAAGTAGACTTTAACCAATGTACCAACCTGTGGCAATCTTTACTAACTCCTTTAGTTTTTTAACTTTTTTTTCTTCAATAATTGATGTCATAGTTGAAGACGTGAGGTTAACTGATCGCGACATGTCCTAGTCCTAAAGATTGTGGCGTTCAGCGGATTGTTTGTTTTGACAAATGTTTGTTTATGTTTTGGGACATGTCATTTGTGAATGAACTTGAAAGTAATTGTCAACAAACCATAGGACAGAATCGGAAATATGTAGGTGAAAATAAGTAAGTAGGATACCGTCATGACCGTATCGTAAAGTTGGTCGAGATGATTTTGACCCAAATGGACGTAAAGGTTAGATTTTTGTCGAGAAAATATCAACACAAAATTATCCTGTATGAATTTTAAATATAAATATACACATCACTATATCAAATACAATACAATACATATAACTGATGACCGCGACCAGTGGAGAAATATTATCAATCAAACTGTCCGAGCTGTTGAAGCCCAATTATGAACCACAACACATCTACTAAGATGTTAATGACTGTGATGATGATATCAAATACAACTGCGTTCGTTTCTAATTTACGACAGGTTTTAATAAATTATTTTCACAAGAAACAAATTATTCAATTGCTTTTCCTTTTTATTTATTCATTTGTCAAATGTATACAAAATATATTAGTCTTTTTGTTTCATGAGGGTAAACATTTCAAATAAGTTTGCTTAGTTTAAATACATAACGTTTATTATTCTGTGGTTTAAATGTAGACTACGGCATTATTTCGCATTTGATATAAATCGAGAGATGCAGATCAAATCTTGTGACATTTTAATTGAATATCAAATATCAGGGAGATTGGCAATTTAACAAATATATTTATCAATTTAGCAAAGATATTCGTAAGATTTCTACAAACAAAATTTTAGAATAGCCATGGGCTCATCCTTGTCTTCATTATAAGCAGATGTATTCATGAAGGATTTCGAACAAAACATTGCACTCAATCAAGACAAACAACTCTCAGTATAGTGGAGATATGTAGATGTTATGTTCTTCATGTGGCTTCTTCATTTGACATCAACAATCAAAAATAATCAAATAGGTAAAAAGAAATAAAATAAGATTTACCCACAATCAAATTAAATTGATTGTGAGTAAGTCTTATTTTATTTCTTTTTACCCATTTGAAATGGACTCACATAGGCAACACATTCATGATTTAAAAAAGAATCAATTAAAATTATCACCCAAAAAGAAAACAACAATTCACTTCTTTTTCTTAATTTGTTAATCATGAAGCAGTACACAGCATATACAACCAAAGTTTACAGAAAACCAACCCACACCAACAGATATTTAAATTACCTACCAGTCAAACCACAATGTAAACATTAACAAGAATTATTAAATCATTACACGATAGAGCCCAAAACATGAATGAAAATACGTTTCAGGCAGAAAAAAACCTACTAACACTACAAGATTGAAAAAAAAAACAATGAAACAGCACAAGAAGGTATTCAAAGATAATAACAATACCTTATGTAACGGGCTTAAAAAAAACTGAAAAGGATCGGAAATAAGTAAAACATCACAACATTCAAAATAACCAATACATTGAGATCTATCCTATCCCAAACCAAACCCAACAACACACACGAAAGATCAAAGAACTTCGTCTTTAAAAAATCCTACAATTTATATGTGGGAGAAACAGCAAGACCACTAAGTGTCAGGATAAACGAGCATTAGACATACAACAAAAACAGATACTTTGACAATTCTCAGATATGCAAATATATCTGGAACAGAGTACAATGGAAAGACTCACCAATAATTATGAAAAAATAGACATGACAAAGAGAAAAGTCAAAGAATCAGCTCTCATCCTACTTGTGCACAATGAAGAAAAATGTGTAGCAAACTCATTAACAGAATATAGCAAGCTTTGGTTGCCAATACTACAAGAGAAATCAAGAACAAGAATATGTCAACCATAGCGGATTAACAGAAAGTCTGATACATATCATTTACAATTATGATTATGCACAATACATATGCAAAATACAATACAATTAGGTACATATACGCAATACCCAAACATAGAACTAAAAATAAACACACATTACAAAGCACGTGGTCTTCGTGTGTATCAAGTTATAAAAAATGCTTATTAAAAGCTTACAACTTTATTTTAAAGAAGATCTTTTCGAAATTAAATCATGCCATCATCAGTTTAATAAAAGGTTGTTAAAAACATTGTTTGGTCACAGAAAAACACTAGAAGGACATCAGTAACAAAAAATCCTCGTGAAATTTTACGAAGATAAATGCAATAGACTGTTAACTTCGGTAATTAATAAAAACTATAACTGGGGGCATCTAACATTTCCTCCAGGAGCTGGTGAAATTTTGTCGACTTACGTTACCTCTGATCTGTGCTGGAGTCTAGGGCTAACTGGTCAGTTACTGATGTCCTTCTACTGTTTTTCTGTGGCCAAACAATGTTTTTAACAACTTTTTATTAAACTGATGACGGAATGATTTAATTTCGAGAAGATCTTCTTTAAAATAAAGTTTTAATCTTTTAATAAGCATTTTTTATACCTAATACACACGAACACCACGTGCTTTGTATTCAACAGGTATGCTAGCCACTCCTGGATATCTCCACTTCATGGTTTTGTTCCAGTTTCATTTTTAAACACACATTACACAAACAAATAATACAAAAAACACACCCAATGTGTGGCTTAATCCCATGTAAACAGGATATTTAACTTAAAAAGGTCACAAAAAAAAACAATCTCAGAATATTCGTCTTCTTTCCATGTTTTTTTGCCTTCGAGTATTGCCGCAGGATGTCGTATTTTTTTTACTGATATTATGTCACAGAAATTGTCGTTTCATTTCTATTGTACTTTCGTAACACTTTAACGTTCATAACCTGATTCATTCATGACATCTTCAGAATTTTTGCTTCATCCATATTAAGTCATGAAGCTCTAGTAATACATTTTTGGTGAAGATCCGCTGGAAGATCAAGACGAGAAAGAAGACAAAATGTATATATTAAGGTAACGGATGTAAGGAAAAGAGCACAAAGGAACGCTTTTTAAATAAAACCACATTTTGAAAAAGATATTTATTTACACCTATTTTTTTTTTGTTTTTTTTTTATTTTTTATCAATAGAATCGATAAACTCTTTAACAGGGTATCCTAAACTTTCTAATTCAGTCTTTACCGTTTCACTGTGGGCCTCAAAGATATCATTATACCAGGATTCTAAGGAATAGTCTTCTTGAGCTCCACCTAAAAAATAAAGAAACGCTATTTAACAAAATAAAGCATATTTTTTTAATAATGAACTGCACATGTGAGTCCATTTCAAACAGGTTTATAGAAATAATTAATAGACTTACTCATAATCTTGTGAGTAAGTCTATTATTTATTTCTACAAACCTGTTTTCATATTTTTTGTTTCGTTTTTCGTTTGGAGATGCGGTCTGACAGAAACCTGTAACAGGGAGAAGAAAAGAATCGGTCTGCTAAACGCTCCATGTGATAAATTCGGACGAACTCATTTATGTACACTCATACACACATACAAAACATACATCAGACCACCCGTGATTGAATACAGGGTTAATATTTGTGCCCTGATCAGTCACGACCTAACAACTGTTAGAACTGGAGAGAGAAATTCTGCGTAAAGTGAACTATAAACGATACGATTATCCCTCCGCCCGCGCCCTTATAAATCAACTATCGAACATCCCGCCCATGAATGGGATGCTCTCCTCTCTGAGCAGCAATTATACAATTAAAACCATCAGAGGTCATAACTTTAGAGTCCAAAACATAATCAAAACTACCTGCTCATCCTTTGGCAATGTAATTATCGTACACCCAGTATCTCTGCTTGATGTCATAACACTCTAGTGAAACCGATTCGAACACGGGAAGTTCAACGAATTTGTACTCCTGGGCCATATATTTGGCTATTCAATTCAACAAATGGATAGTTTTGCTAAAAGATTTAATCTTTTGCACATTTCGTATAGCTCAGAGGAGAGAAAACGATTATTATATCGTTTTTGTTCATGGTCACCAAAGTAGTTGGCACCTCTGTACGCTAACCACTGCAGTGGTAAAGATTTAGGGGGCATTTTCTTGGACTTTCCGAGTTTGAATTTGTATCAGCTCGAGTGTCTGAAGAAGAATAGATACTGAAATAATGTCATAAAACACACACATATACACACACAGATACACACTCAAACCTGCCATTCTGTGACACGTGTTTCGCTATTTTAAGCTCTTCCCACAGACCTTCTGGTAGGACAGAAAGAAGAACATTTACTGACTTGTGCACTCTAGTTTAACTTGAAGCAAACCTCTACAAATACTTCTCTGTCTCTTAACGGCACTAGATGGCGCCTGATTTTTTTAGAAAATATCTAGTGCCCTTTGGAGAATAGGGAAGGAGAAGTCTATGTAGTATGTTTGCATCAAGTTAAAATAGATTGCACTACTCAGTAAATGACTGGAAGACTTTGAATTGACCACCGATATACGAAAGCAAATGTTCTTCATTTCGTTTTACCAGCAGGTCTGTCTGAAGTGCTAAAAATAGCAAAACACGTGTCACAGAATGGAAAGTTTGATGGGATGTGAATATTCCTTTTTTGGTATAAAATTGATACATTATTTTATACTTTGTTTAAAGTATAAAGCTGCAAATTATTTCTATAAGATGGTGGTTCTTAGATATTTTATAAAAAATATCAGGCACCATCTAGTGCCCTTTGGAGAAAAAGGGTAGAGAAGTCTTTGTAGTAGGTTTGTTTCAAGTTAATCTAATTTCCGATTCAAACCAAAAAGTCCAACTAATGTTTCCAATATCTTCCCACTTTCAGTGTGGCAGATGGCGAAAGTGGCGCCATCTACAATATATATATATATATATATATATATATATATATATATATATATATATATATATATATATATATGTATATATATATATATATATATATATACATATATATATATATATATATATATATATATATATATATATATATATATATATATTGATAATACAATATATACAATACAATAATACCATAGTCAAGTCAACTTAGAGTCAAAATTAGCAGTTTACAACTTACAGTGATTTTACTGACTACTTATACAATTCTGAAAATATTGCTTGAAATATTTTTCTTATTATTTACTAGAATGAATATATTAACCGTGAGTTAAAGTTTTTTAAAGTGTCACCCTATATTATTGTTTGCGAAATAATACAAACTATTTAATTAGATTGAGACTAACCTAAAGAGTTCGGAAGGTATTTCGGATCTATATGGGAATACAGAGTTTCCAGGTCGTTGTGGAAGTGAATTCTGTCTGTTACTGTCGGTGATACTAGAACCTTAACCATGTTGAAAGCTGTATCAAACATCCATGAGCTGTAGAGAAAATGCACGGCTTCTAGACGACAGGGCATTGAAGTCTGAAACAAAAATAAGAAATATATACATAAGATCTTGACTAAGCTAATAACTATCAAAACCAGATAATGAACAAAATTGTCTATTGTTTGACATACTGTTTCACTAATTTTTAACTATTATATGTGGTTTTTAGTATTTGCTGGACAAATTCCTCTTAAGGCGATAAATCGATTGAAGTATTTAAAAGTAAAAGTTCTAAATTATAAAAAAATAATTAAATAATTAGTTCCTACTGAGAACAACAGTTTGCATATGTTATAAACTATTTGTAAATCTAATTATAAAAATGGCTTACCATAGCAATATTGACCAAATGCTTAGCTAAGGTGGGACTCATGTACCACATCATTTCCAGCGACAATCCACTAAGATCAAACAAAGCTACGACTCCCTTTATCTGTGTCTTCTGCTCTAACATACTTAACTGAACTAAAAATATCACAAATTGAATAAGCTCTGTGGGAGAAAAATCAGAAGGAACCCATTCACCTAAAACAAAATAGAGTTATTAATAATATATTTTATAAACAAATTTAATAGTTTTGTGTACTAAAATCGTGCCTAACTAATATGCCATATCATTAAAAAAAAAAGACTTTGATATCAACTCGAGGGTGAAATTACCACGTTCAGAATTTTCAACTCAAAAACATGGCCCTTTTGCTATAAGATCGAAGCCAAGTAAGACACCTGTCAAAAGTGAACTATAATTTTTATTACAATAGATTGTGGGTTAATCATATATAGATATAATATATATTCTTATATAAATTCCTATAGCTTTTCCCCTCTGTTCGTGTTAACGCTGGAGAAGGAGGACGTGGCTAAGGTAAAGCAAATCACCAAGTAGATGCACATGAGAATCGTAATTGAAGAATTACGATACGAAAGGAAACCGGACCTACACAGTATTTCAACTAGCAAGGTTATCATCATACGCAAAACGCATGCCACCAGGTAGCAAGGTGTGTTAAATACGGAGAAACCCACCCAAGGAAAGAGTACCCCTGAACAAAAGGCAAAACAAAAGACAAAAGGCAAGACAAAAAACAGAGGATGACCCAAATGCACTATTTGGAGAAGACCCTAAAGGCAACAAGCCCCACCAAGGAGGCCACAACAACATACAAGACAAGCAAACGGACCGGCACATGCACAATACAATAATTGATCTCCAAAAAGCTGCAAGATAATATAGTGAACACAATTAAATAACTGGTCACTAGAATAGTCAACGAGGCGATTAATGACATAAAGTTAGCGCTGAACTAAGGAACGCTAATAGGGGATACTTGAGGATAGGCTCCTAGAATCCAGGCGGCACAGGAACCAATCCAAATATTTTGGACGAGCTGGTTAATACTTATGAAATGGATGTCGTAGCAATACAGGAAACAAAGCAAAGATACCAAAGCCAGGAAAGAACAGCACATTACCGTAAAACTACTGGCCGATATGCTACTACCAGAAATCAGCAAGATCGTAGACATCCCCATAGATCATAGACATAGAGTCATCTTCAGCAGACCCCAACAGAAATTGTTGGGCTAGGAATAATACCAGAAGCGCAGTTTGGATTTCTGTCAGAACACTCCAGCAAGCTACAAGTACTCATATTAACCGAGAACATAGCGACTGGATTTAATAACAAACAAAATAGAGTCTGGTATAAAGGGCTAATTTACAAAATGAGAGGCTATGGATATAGTGGGACAATGATGAAAAAAATCTCTTCATATTTGAGCAACCGGAGCTTTAGAGTTCGAATAGGATAAGTCCTGTCCAACATTGGAACCCCGAAGTCTTGAGTGCCACAGGGAGCGGTCCTGTAACCACTACTGTATACGATACACACTGTAGATATTCCAGGAACACCAGGAACTTTACTCAGCTTTTATGCCGATGACACAGCGATAGCAGCCAAACACAGAAATGTAGATATAGCAGTAAATAACCTGCAAACAGCATTAGAATACATCGAAGAATGGAGTATACAATCGAAAATCATCATAAACTTAGAAAAAACGAAAGTGGTTCTTTTCAAAAAGAGACATCAACAGACAGAGTAACAACTGACAGTGAAAAACAACCCCATTGAATGAAAATGCGAAGCCAAATACCTGGTAGTAACAATAAAAAAAAAGGACTAACATTCAAAAACACTTAGACACCACTGTACAAAAAGCCAACATGGCAAGAGCATCAATAAGAGGACTCACAGGTAGAAGAAATAAGTTAAGAACGCATGTTTCGCATGAGGATACATATGTAACACATCAAAGAAGAGAATACACGCAGCCCATAACAGCAGCTTAAGCGAAGCAGTCAACGTACCGAGATACGTCGCTAAAAAATTTCTATTCAGGGAACTACAACAAGTCAGAGTGACCGACATGATGACTGAAAAAGATAAATACTGGATTAAAAATAAAATTGTACCCAGGAGAGAAAACATCAATTAAAAATCAGAGGATAGTTCGTAGCTCTATCAATGCAGACTACCACAAAACTGTGTAGTCTCCAAGATTTTTCTTTCAGAACATTCTACAAAAAAAAAAAAACAAACAAAAAACATAAAAAATGGCCTCAGCCACCAAAAAAATTAAAAAACACTAACAAAAACCGGCGCAAGCCACAAAACAAAAATATATTGACAGAAGAGGACCGGGACGCCGTCGTATCTCGTGGTTGAAAAAACTCCGACAATAGTGTGGAATAACCTCCACAGAGCTGTTTAGCAGAGTAGTCAACAAAACCATGATAGCCTTGATGATCGCCAATATCTGGACCGGATAAGGCACCGAAAAAGATTAAAAGTATCAGATTCTGCTATAATAATTTGTATTTACAAGCCATAATCAAGCACCCAATTTTATTACACTCATGTAAAGATAAACGAAGTTTGATAAAAAGCGTTAATAACCAGTTGAAAAATGTTAAAACATTTAAAAAATGAAGGAAAAAAGAAAGGGGCAATTATTTATTGGCTTAAAAAAAACGAGAAACTTTCTATCTTGGACACAAATATGTGAAATAAATATCGTACGATTGTTGACTAAGAACAACGACAGCTTTTAAGAAAAATGTATTTCTGATTTGTATTTGTATATTTCTTAATATTGTTAAAAACATTTTGTTATTATTTGTAACTAGAATTCCGTTTTAATAAATCATTAAAGACCTAGTTTCTGTTAATATGATACCGATCCCATATGTGAGCAGGAGGAAATTGATCAAAACGATCCTATAAACGCGTTATTGCAATAACGTAATATTTCATAAACTTTTTTTTCTAAATCAGTTGAGCTAATTACACATCATGATGTATAAGAGCTACACACACGCGTATCTCGGTATCTTGATTTGAATCCTTGGCCAATCCCTTTCCATGTTTATGAAAAGTGTGTTAATGGTACAGAGGTAAAAATTATTTACCGATAAAAACATAAGATAGAAAATCTTAACACCAGATAATTATTGCTTTGATTATTTGAGTGCTGGCAATTTGTGATCCGAGATATGAACCTTACAAAATATTTATTGGTATGATTTTAGTGCCGAAAGTAAAATAATCATGTATATCGGTTATATATTTAGTCTTTCTTTCTGTATTATGAGCATACCATTTCTGTTTTTTGAGATTCAAGCATTTAAAAACAATTTTTTATGAACTGGCCATCTCGCTATCATCTACAACGACTAAGCAACATACCTTTCGAGACACAAAGTGTATCCGTGTCTTAAGCCTACTTCATAATAGTTGACTCCATAACATTTCAAAAAGTAATGAAATATATATTATATCCAACAAGAGAGGTGGCTCTTTGACGGATGCAAGGAAATAGAAGATCTGGATAAAAAGTACGATAGTTTTAATTTACACAAAAAAATCAAAGAAATGACAGTCCTAGAAAGCGTACAAAAACGAATATCCTTAAAAATGATAAAGAGGATATTATTACTGATATGAAGGAGAGATTATGTCACTGGACCAATTACATTCAACAACTATTTAATGACGAAGAACTGTCATTAGAAATCACCGAGGATACCGGACCACCAATATTAAGAGAAGAAGTCATCTATGCCATCAAAAACACAAAAGAGGGTAAAGCTACTGGACCAGATGAGGTGCCCATCGATGAAGATGTTATTGATGTAATGGTTGAACTCTTTAATCTAATATATCAGACTGCCACAATCTCCAGACAATGGCTGCAATCAACCTTTGTAGCAATTCCCAAAAAACCAAGTTCAACAATTTGCTCAGACCACAGAACAATAGCTTTAATGAGTCACACACTTAAAACATTTTTGAAAATAATTTACAGCAGAATTGTAAAAACTCTTGAATATGAGATTAGTGACACACAATTTGGCTTTAGAAATGGTATTAGTACAAGAAATGCTTTGTTCGGCTTGAATGTGCTGGCTCAGAGATGCATGGACATGAATCAGGATATGTACTTAGGTTTTGTAGTAAGTGAATGAGCTCACTACTCTAACAGTGAGCTTTCACGTTTTATTCTTGCCGTTTGACCTCAGTCTTATTTTGGTATTACTTTACTTTACATTAATACATCAATACAAAATGGTTTACATTCTACTATTGCAGCTTTGATGGCTTTTATACAAAAAGAATTTTAAAAAATTATAAAAATAAATACACTACAAACAATATTACAAATATTTAATTACATTGTTATTCTGTGTTATGAAATTTCGATTGGTAGTTAAAATGCAATATCTACATGTGATAATAATATCGAATGTGTTCAAAATATTGATTAAGTATGCAATTATTGCTTATTTTAATTACTACTTAAGGTAACGCAGATACTTTCAATGCTTTCTAATTATATAAGTATCAATAATATTTCGTTTAATAACAACTAAACAATTAGACGTTATAAATCAATAGTACCAACTTATAAACCCAGTGAAAAAATTTATTCCACATGAAATTAAGAAAGTCGCCAGGAGACATGAAGAGAGGCTCCATAAGCATCAGAATCATGATGTACTTTAGTTTCTTGTCAACTAACTCCAGATCCGAAGGCTCAAGAGGACAACCGTTCGAGTTTGTTTAATGTGTGAAGTTGTGCAAGGCTTAGTAAGTGTTGTGAATTGTAGCCACAACAAGGACGTGAGAAGTTAGTATCAGTGCTGTGCTGTGAGGCCACAACAAAGAAGTGGACATTCAAAAAAGCTAGGATGGACCAAGTGACATCTAGGTCACAAACAATCTTAGGAAAATTAGGTTAAAGAAAAAATGCTGATTAATGTTGTAGATAGATTAGGTGTATTCTTTAATTCTTAAAAAAAATGAGATAATTGTGAAGATGAAAGTAAAAAAAAAAGTACATATTGTTATTCCGATAATATATTAATTAAAAAAGAAAATATCATAAGAAAATATTCTCAGAAACATATTAAATTAGCTTCAGTTATTGGTGTACCCAATTCTACAATATTATTACTTATAGAATATCTTAATAAATTTATTTAAATATATTCAATAGATTCCCATTTATTCTATCATTTGTGTGTCCGTGACTTATAAATGCAAAGAGTGTATGGTATTTCACCGAAGAACAACTTTCAGTACAATAACTTTGACTTTGTTTTTAAAACTACGGCGTCGTTGGCACATTGTTCAAACATTACGGATAGGTGCAGCATAAATGCGTGTAATTCCATAAATCAGACGAGTCTAAGAACGATCATTATTTATATTTGAGCATTAAGATAATTAAACTAGCAGTTGATTGCACTGTACTTATGCAGTGTACCAGTTTATTCAACACAACGAAACATATTTTTTTACATTTGTGGCTGTCTCTCTGCAATTTCTTCCGCAAAAGCAACAATACTGTTATATAATCATACAGCTCTATTATCCCACATGTATCCATTTAATAAGAAAATACTTACATTTTCTTGAATAACTTACAACTTAAGTTATTAAAGAGAACTAAGAGGGAATAAAAAAGCAAAAGATATACTAAAAATAGCAACATGGAATATTAAGACGTTATTACGGACTGGAAAGATTTAAGAAGCAGATGGAAGAGAGTTAAAAAAATACACAATAGACATCGCTGTAATACAAGAAGTAAGATGTAAAAAATCAGGAGAAATCACAAAAGAAGAATGTGTATTTATGTAAAGTGGAGATGACAATTAAGACAAGAATGAAGTGAGGTTTTACATAAATAAAAAACACACAAACAACACAACAAAGTTCAATCCGATAGACAGGAGGAAAGCCACACTGAGACTAAAAATGGATATTGAAAACACTATATAACATTAAGAAATATATATGCACCAACTAAAACGTAAAATCTAACAGAAAAATATGAATTCTAAGAAAACCTAAATAAAGCAGGCGACGAAATATCAAAAAAATACATGCTAATAATACTGGGAGATGTAAACGCACAACTGGGGAAAGAAAGATACTTGAAAGACCTAGTCGGAAACGAAAAAGGATCTCTAGATCAAAAGGCATGTATTTATTTACTTACCAATATTATATATCAACATTCTTCTTCCGCTTTGATCCCTACTTAAAGGGCAGTTAAACATCTTTGTCTTCTTGATCTCTGTTAACTTCTGCAAGTTGACATTTTTGAAATATTCAGGAGCTTCTTCCATGAAGTTATGGTAGTTTACATACTGAAACAAATTGATATAGTAGAGAAGTTAAAGTTTAATAGAGAATTAATGCAATTAATGAAAATACATGCTTTTTAGAAAGGTTTCGTTATTATAGATATTTACTTCAACTTCTTACTAGAGCCGTTGATTTTGGGTTATTCAATCAACGCTAGAGCATAGAACCAAAGCAAAATACGTACTTTGTTCCCTGTTAGTAGCCAATGCTTTCATCTATACCAATTTTTTCCTTTACTTTACTTTATATGTTTTTTTTTAATTATTATTTTTATGTAAACACATAAAGCTTATTAAACAAAATAAATCAGCTTAATATTTTTTAAAAAAGTAAAACGTACAAATATACAAGACTTGGTAATGTTTAGCGATAATAAAATCTCTACACGACCAGCTTGCTTAAATGATATATCATGAGAATACGAGGGTGAATTTTGTGCATTAGAAATTATGGCTATTAAAACTATTTTAGTAACAGTGTATAGAACCGGAAATGGGAATTTTTAAGTTTTTCTAGACCTATTTAAAAAGTTATATTGGTGTGTTTTGCTTGGCTAATTTTTAAGAAATAATAATACTTGGAGATTTCAACATTGATTTCAAAAAAGCTTCTAATGAACTAAACATAGTCCGTGATCTAATTTCTACTTTTGGCTTAACCATAAATATTAATGAATTTACTAGAATCACAACTAGATCAGCAACTTGTTCAGATAACATCTTAACAAACATAAACAGTGAGATAGTTAGTTGTGGAATAATTGTGGACCCATGTATTTCTGATCATTTTGCTCAATTTCTCCACTTAAAAATAAAATCTGAAAAAAGTTATAGTGCTAATACCTACAGAAGACATATAATGGCATCTTGATGTTAAACTAGTCGTTAAATAACGTTGACTGGGCTTCAGTTGTTTCTCTCAAAACAGCAACAGAATTAGCTCAATTTACTATCGAAATGTATGTTAAGTTAACTGAAATAAATTTTCCTATAAAAAAATTACGAACTCATAGAAAAGCTCCAATTTCTTGGTTTGATGATGAACTAATAGTAATGCAATGAAATCTTTTCACAGTCAAGATAATTGCTGATGTTAAAGGAATATAACAATAACAAAATAAATGGCGGTTGCGTTTCGATTTAATTTGGGTCTCTAACTATTCTCTTACACGTGTTTCTGGGTCTACCCGTCATCAGAGAAAGTTTGTAAGAAGACTCAAACCAAACCAAAACGCACCGACTACTAAGACAATTATAGGAAATAGGTATACAGTTTACTTTAATTGCTATCGATATTTAACTTCATATTTGCTCTCTAGAGGTCTCTAGTACCATACTCTAGTAATTATTTTCCTATAATTGCCTTAGTAGTCGGTGCGTTTTGGTTTGGTTTGAGTCTTCATGATGGCTAGACCCAGAAACACGTGTAAGAGAATGGTAAGAGACTCAAATTAAATCGAAACACAACCGTCATTTATTTTGTTATTGTCCTTACTCGACGCAATGAGTACAAAAATGATAGTAATTTATATGGGTAAATTGTTGATGCATAGTGAAATACAAATTTTCTCAGCATCGCTCTGAATGGCTTGATTATATTTGGGGTAATTCCTTCCACACAGATTGAATTTTTAAACTACAAAAAAGAGTAGTGAAAATACTTGCAAGAGCAAACAATAGGAAACACTGTAAACCTTTATTTCTGGATTTAGGTATTATACCACTACCTTTAATCTATACAGGGTGTCCCAGACTAATTTACCCACGCTATATCTCTTAAACGAATAGAGATTTTCGAATGGGACAAAAAGTGGTCTATTCTATTTGTAATACATTCTTTAATATGGCGTAGAAAAAAATCATCCCCTAAATATTCATCCCTTAGTTACAACCCCTAACTTTAATTTTGTTAATAGCACCCTGTATATTTTTTTATAGTTTTGGATGTGGTCTTCTATCGTCTATTCAACAGATTTATTAAAAATAAAATCGGTTTGTAAATAATCAAGAAATCAAATAATTTTTTTATTTTTGTTAATTAAGCCTCTCAGACTAATTTATCCAGGCTATATTTATTAACAAAATGGAGATTTTTTAAAGGGTCAAAAACTGGTCTATTCCATTTGTAATACACTTTAATATAGCGAAAAAAAAATCATCCCCTAAATATTCATCCCTTAGTTACAACCCCTAACTTTAATTTTTTTAATAGCACGCTGTATATTTTTTATGGTTTTGGATGTGATCTTCTATCGTCTATTCAACAGATTTATTAAAAATAAAATCGGTTTATAAATAATCAAGAAATCAATTAATTTTTTATTTTTGTTAATTAAGTGTCCCAGACTAAATTATCCAGGCTATATTTCTTAACAAAATAGATTTTTTAAAGGAACAAAAACTGGTATATTCCATTTGTAATACACTTTACCATAGCGAAGAAAAAAGCACCCCCTAAATATTCATCCCTTAGTTAAAACCCCTAACTTAAATTTTTTAATGACACCCTGTACATTTTTTATAGTTTTATATGTGGTCTTCTATCGTCTATTTAATCGATTTTTTTAAAATAAAATGGGTTGTAAAAAGGTATCAAGAAAATATTAGTTTATTTTTTATTTTTGTTAAATTAATCAAGATAGCCTTAAAAAATAGAATAGAAAAGAAATATTAGTAGTATAACTTCTTACACAACCTCTTTATTTAAATATTATTTTTAATTTTTCAAAATTTGGTCTTTGTAGGAGCATACGTTATCTTCCAGTGTGGTTGGTGGTATGTTTCGTTGATTAATTTAACAAAAATAAAAAATAAACTGATATTTTCTTGATACCTTACAAACCCATTTTATTTAAAAAAAATCGGTTAAATATACGATAAAAGATCACATCCAAAACTAGAAAAAAATGTACAGGGTGCTATTAAAAAAAATAAGTTAGGGGTTGTAACTAAGGGATGAATATTTAGGGGATGATTTTTTCTTCGCTATATTAAAGTGTATTACAAATGGAATAGACCAGTATTTGACCCTTTAAAAATATCTCTATTTTGTTAATAAATATAGCCTGGATAAATTAGTCTGGGACACTTAATTAACAAAAATAAAAAATAAATTGAGTTCTTAATTATTTACAATCCGATTTTATTTTTAATAAATCTGTTGAATAGACGATAGAAGACCACATCCAAAACTATAAAAAAATATACAGGGTGCTATTAAAAAATTAAAGTTAGGGGTTGTAACTAAGGGATGAATATTTAGTGGATGATTTTTTCTTCACTATATTAAAGTGTATAACAAATGGAATAGACCAGTTTTTGACCCTTTAAAATATCTCTATTTTGTTAATAAATATAGCCTGGATAAATTAGTCTGGGACACTTAATTAACAAAAATAAAAAATTTATTGATTTCTTGATTATTTATAAACCGATTTTATTTTTAATAAATCTGTTGAATAGACGATAGAAGACCACATCCAAAACTATAAAAAAATATACAGGGTGCTATTAAAAAAATTAAAGTTAGGAGTTGTAACTAAGGGATGAATATTTAGGGGATCATTTTTTTTACGCTATATTAAAGTGTTTTACAAGTAGAATAGATCACTTTTTGTCCCATTTGAAAATCTCTATTCGTTTAAAAAAATATAGCGTGGGTAAATTAGTCTTGGACACCCTGTATATAGTACATATGTATATATGAGGCGCTGATTGAAATTCATGACAACGAAGGTAAGTTTAACATAAACTCAGTTTTAGTGATCAGGATATAAGATCTAGAGATGATATTAGAGCACAACGTTTTAGGTTGACAAAGAGCATAAAAAATTCGACTGATGTTGGCTTGTATAACTTTTTGCGAGATAAAATAAAAAGTCTTCACTTGTTATCGTTTAAGTTTAAAATCAAATCGCACTTTTTAAATCATTACTATTCACATAGTATCTAAGTACAGTTTTTACACAATAGTACTAAAAGTTTATAGTTTGGTCAATGTATTTGCCTATTATGATGATAGTTTATTTTTTATATTTTTATTTAGTGTGTTTGTCGTTTCTAAAATTGTCAATATTAAATATGTGTTTGTAATGTTTAAATTCGCAAAATTTTTAAATGTATGTATGTAAAAATTGTCACTATTCCTTTGACTTGTCAAAAACAAAACTATTATTGTATATTGACTAAATAAATTGTATTCTATTCTATGTAAATAAATAATTTTTTGTGTAAGGTCGATTTTGATAACCAAGAAATCGCGCAAAAAGAAATCGCAAGCGGAAATCTCAGCAGCCAACATATTTTTATAATTTTATACGTCCATACGTCGATCTTGTCCATGGCCTATTTAAATAAAGAATATTCATTCTTGAGGCTTGCCACTGGAAAATGATAGTATGTATTAAGATTACTTAATCAGATAAACTACTTACCAATCGATGTGCTTTCTTAAGAATAAAATGGCGAGCTCTTAGAAACCTCAGCAGAAACTCGTCATCGGTCCTTGTAGGAGTGCATTCGCCTCTTTCTGTGAACAAAAATACGCTAGACATGCATACGTGCGTGAATATAAATTATCTGAAAACCGAAACATTGTTGATATTATAGTTAAGGACAGAGATTGTTGTTTTCATTGATAAATTTTTAATATTAGCGAAATATATTGTGCATGCATAATATAATATATACATAAAGTTAGCGGAATACTGTTTTAAAAATATACAGCTTTTTTTTTTAAATAATAATAATAATGCAATTTTCAAATGATATTAGTATGAACTTTGGGTTAAACAAATGTCGTGTACTAAATATAAAGGCACAAAAACACCATCCTCAAAGTGCAGTAGAAAAAAACGACATTACCGCGGTATTTAGGAGGACGAGGACTTATGGATATAAGCGAACAATTAGAAAAACAGATTACTAATTTAAGAACTTATTTTCAGGTGCAGACGGAGACATCTACTCTTCATCGCGCGATTTGTGCAGTAGATGACACAACACCGATCAAACTAAGGGAACAAGAAATGCGTAAAACCATCTTACCAAGAACGAAAAAATGCGCATCTGTATGGGTAAACCTCTGCACGGGCGACATGCGAATGAGGTTAGCCAATATTATGTCTACAGTATAGCGTCGAACTATTGGTTGACATCAGGAAAGATGTTTCCTGAAACAGAAGGTTCATTACTTGCAAGGAACGGCATGACTCAGTAGGGAAGATCCTCCATCAAGAGATTGCTTTTAAACTGTGACTTTTACAAACAAACCATCTCCTATATTATCAATACGACCCTGAGAGTATGCTTGAGAATGACAACTACAAGCTATACTGGGATTGCACTGTGCTCACAGACCAAACTGTAGCACATAATAGACCAGATCTCGTGCTAGTTAATACACTGAGACAAACAACACTAATCGATGTGGCGATACCTAACAATAATCTGCGTGTTAAGTATAATGAAAAGATCGCCAAGTACAGAGATCTGGAAATACGAATAAAAAGACAATGGAGAATGGAAAGTACCCAGACAATACCTATTATTTTTTCTACCACTGGAGTCATCCCGAAAAACCTCATAGAAAACATAAAGAAGATGGGTCTAAATGAAAATCTACATAAAATCATGTAGAAAGCAATCATTTTGATACCGTACCTAGGTATTTGGAATGAGTGAATTTTTCCCTTAGAGGAAGTGTGAGCCGTATGGCTAAATCTGGATGCAATTCAAATAAATTCAAGAAATTTGTATTCTACGAGAGTATTAAAACATTTTAGTTTTAGTTAATGGTGATAAGTAAGTACCCAACCAAAGCGAACACGTTTCAAAAAGCTCTCAACTTCACTGAAAGAGAAAATGTACGAATTTTTTTCAGATGAAATTTCCTGAAAATAAGTACAAAGTTCTTCTCAACCTGTACTTTGCAGGTTATTCGCTCCGTGCGTGACCATGGTAGGGGTACATTGAAACGATGCCAGCGTGCGTAGTGGCGAAATATGACAAAATTGGAATATTGGACAAAATATTTTTACGCATAAATTTTATCAAAAATGTATGCAAATACATGTTGCGTATTTAATTGTGCTAATAATAGCAAAAACAGTGAGTGTAGTTTTTATAGGTTCCCAAAGATTACATAGAAATTAGAGAAAAGAAAAAGATGAATTCGTGCTATTAATATGAAAAAGTAAATATCACATAATTTCATTTTTATGCAATTGAAATAGGAAAAATTTAAATTATTTAACTTGAATGATATTTGATAAGGCTTCAAGCTAACTGCAGATGACTTTAGCTTTTATATCATAACTTTTACCATTACTGTTTTTAATTATATGCTCTTTTTGCGTGAAAAACTTGATTTGCCAGTACTAGATTTTTCCCTTTCTTTTCCGTTTGGAGTTGAAAAGATATATTATGATGAATTTTGAGAAACTAAGTTTTTAATACTACATTTATTTTGAACATAAACTAAAAAAATATAGTTAAAAAACTAATTTATTAATAATTGTCAATTTCGCATGTATTTAACAATGTCAAACATATGTCATATGTTTAACCTGAAAATTGGGACTCCAAAATTGTCAGATGAAGGCGGTAGGTGTCGCGTCAGTCACGCACGGAGCGAATATAATTTCCATTTGGGGGTAAAAAGTACCATTGTATGAAAAAAAAAATGGAAAAGTCCGGATTTATCACTCAGATGCAAAAAAGCGCAACAAAGAAAATTTTGGTCAAATTCAAAGTATTTTGGGTTTTTTTATTTTTAGCCCTATTTTGGTAATCTTTTTAACACACTATGTAAAAATTTATAAATTTTAATTTAGTATAGTGACTTTTTTAATGGTTTCTTATCCTAATTTTGAAACATCCTGTGGAATAATTCCGGTAACGGATTTTCGTAAAACCTTGTTTTTCAGTTGCAACCATGTCTTCTATGTATTATGTTTTTTGTTTCATGTGAAAATATAGATTGATTCATTTTTAGGAGCGAAATGACTTTGCCACCAACAATTTATTTTTCCTATTATTATCATTATCTTTTGTATTAATTTGTAATATGACAATATGGGCTTAAGTAACTGATATCTAAGGAATATCATATCGACATCCCAGAACCACTGTATTTAAATAATGATTTAAATCAACGACACGATCTTGGTTTTAATGAACAATGATTACAATAATAAAACATAAAAAACAACTTAAACGTAACTTAATCTAAGTACGCAAATAACAAAGAAAAACTACTAAAAAATAACTTAATACTTTGATTGCCTTCCCTAGCCTTTATAACTGCCTGTACACGTCGGCTCATGCTGTCTATGAGGTTGCGAATATCATCTTGCTGGATGTTTTGCCATTCCTCTTCTAGAGCCAAGCGATGTTCGATAATTGAGGCTGGTGCGACTTCGCGACTTCTAATATTTCTACTAGCATGTCCCAAACGTGCTCTATTGGGTTCAGATCTGGCGAACACGCTGGCCAGTTCATTTTATTGATACCAACTTCCTCTTAATATTGCGTGACACACACTGCAGAGTGGGGTCGCGCATTACCTTGCATTAATAGAAAATTATCGCCGATATATTGACAAAAGGGCACTACTAAAATTTCCTCAATATACCGGTGGATATTCCTGCTTATACGGTCACCGAACTTCCTCCATGGCTAAAGCGGGGATTGGAAGCGCACCTCACAAATCTCTCTCCAGTTTGACGCCATACTCGTTCTCTCTCATCTGCTGAGTGAAGACAGTATCTTGAATTATCCTTAAAAAGAACATTACTCCATTGTAATAAATTACAATGTAAATGTTCCCTGGAAAACTACTTCTAGCCACTCTGTGCCGTGAAAGTAATTTGAGCTCAGTTGTTGGTCTGCAACTTTGCAAACTTTTTGTAATCTTCGACGAACTGTAAATACACTTACATTATTGCCTCGAACCTCTTGAAGCTGATTTCTTGTTTGCACCGCTGTTAAACGACGATCCCACAAAGCGTTGACTTGTATAAATCGATCATCTAAAGCAGTTGTTCTAGTTCGTATAAAAACATTCCACTAACCTTTGGATGGTAGAGCGATGAGTGTGTAATAATCTAGCCACATATTCCTAATTTCGCCCATCTTTAACTAGAGCAACGGCTTCCTCACAATCTTCGACACTAAGAACCATGATCAATCATAGGTAAACAAAATGTAAGTTTCAATATGACATAATGATATCAGACATGAAAGCCACCTCGTCGTATTACAAAATAACTCCAAAATAATCATAATTAAAAAAGTCCTAAATTGTGGGTGGTAAATTCATTTGGCTTTAAAAATGAACCACAGCATATTTTGACATGAACAAAAAACATAATGCTTAGAAGACACGTTTGCAACCAAAAAATAACGTTTTACGAAAATTCGCAAACGGACAACAAATTATTGCACAGGATGATTTTAAAGTTAGGATAATAAAACTACATTTTAATTAACCCCGTACAATAAGTCAAATATAAAATTTTATCAAAAAACTGACTATACCAACTTAAAATTTATAAATTTATACATAGTCTGTACAAATTTATTAATTATACACATACAAAAATCATCAAAATAGGACTAAAAATAAAAAAATTGAAATACTTTGAATTTGACCAAAATTTCCTCCGTTGCGTTTTTTTTTCATCTGAGTATATTTTAAAGGTTCAATTTATCTCAAATGTGTTGAATAAAGTTCCTTTTGAGTTTTTTACATAATTTTTGAAATCAGATTACTTTTTTACGTTTAAAATCTATAAAAACTACCCCTTTCTGTCCGAAAAAATAGGGAAAAAAATATGAGCAACTTAAAATGGTACATTAGCAATGTATTATATCTCTTTTATTATTCATTAGACAATCTATCATTCATTAAAAAGTTGCAACCCTTAAAAAAACAATTTGTTTTTTTACAAATATAGAAGAAGAAAAAAAAGAGAATTATATTGTTTAAGCCAGATTAAACCAGAAATGCACATTTTTCTATTTTTCTTAGATAAATCTACTTAAAGTTATTAGGTAAATAGATACCGTATATCATATCCTTCAGTTCAGAGATCAACAGATCCCTTGTATCGGGATCCTCATTTATGTTTTCTTTTGCCCATTGCAGCAACTCCTGCGATGGTTCTTCTAAATCAAAAGTACCTTTAAATGTTGTTTCCTTTTTTTGGGATGTGTCCAAGGAGGGATGAGACATACTGCAACAAAAAATATGTATATTAAAAAAACTTTTTTTTTTTAGGTATATAAAATCCTACTGTATATTAAAATCCTATTAAATAAACAAATTGCAGAGTAATAAGAAGGTAAAACTTATTTTAATATACACGGTGTTCACAATGTTTCCCACTTACTTCTTGGCAGTATTACAATCTATATCTTGTTTCTTTTCTAACTTTTTGCAACATCCTTTAATTAATCGTACATCATTCTGAGATAATAGTTCGGTGTAGTTGGTCAATTGTATCTGGTTGTGTCTGATACATTTTGGATTTTAAGTAACGTCATAGAAAAAAATTTAATGGTGTTAAGTCAGGATATCTTGGTGGCCACTCTATATGTCGCCATCGGAAAATTCATCTTGCTAAAAAACATTATCTATAAGCTGTATAAGAAAGAATATAAGTTATAGATAATTTTGCACCCTTGCAGAAATATGATGTTTTGAGGGAACTGTTGCAGATAATTTGTAATTATATCATTGACTGCCAGGACTATCTCAGTTTCCAACATATTAAGGTAAGTTTCACCATTTAAATTCTTCTTCTTCTTCTACGACACTACAGCCCAAATTGAACCTTGGCCTCCTTCATTTTTTGCTTCCACCCTTGCTTGTCTGTGGCTGATTTTCTCCATACATTTACTATTAAAAGGTCTTGTGCGTCGTCCTTTACTGTGTCTTCCCAGTGCTTTCTTGGCTTTCCAACCGGTCTCTTTCCCTGCATTCTAGCATTCAGAGCTCTTTTTGGTAGCCTATTCTCTTCCATTATTATGACATGTCCGGCCCATTGCAATCTTTGTATTCGAATAAAGTCTGACAGTGGTGCTTCCTTATAAAGTTGATAAAGCTCGTTGTTGTATCGACTTTTGAATCCCTCGCAGGTCCTAATATTCTCCTCAGTACTTTATTTTCGAAAGGGACGAATTTGCTTTTGGATATTTTTTTTTCGGAGCTATGCTTCACTGCCGTAGGTGCTATTGGTAGAATTTTATAGATTCTCATCTTTGTATTTCGGTAGACATTTTTAGACCGAAATATATGGGAGAGGGCAAAATAAGCTCTGTTTGCCTGCGTTATTCTCTTCCGTATTTCTCCATCTTCTGATCCGTCGGCATATATTTCTACTCTCTAGTATGTAAACTTTTCAACTGTTTCAATCTCATCTTTATGTATAATGTTTTGTGGGAATATATTTCTTCTCGTCTGTATCATTATTTTTGTTTTTTCTGTTTTAATTTCCAGACCTAGCTTTTTGTTTGCATTTTTAACTATGTGTATGGTTCCTGTGCTCCTGTTGATATTCTACTCATAATATTAATATCATCGGCAAAAGCACTAGTTGAACCGTTCGGTTGGTCAATAGGTTTTCTCGTCAATTTGAATTTACGTAACCGCTTACTCCAGTGCCAGGTTAAACAAAGTTGGGGCCCTCCACTGATTTGGTGTGTCACTCCACTTTCATCTTTACATAGACGTTTTTGTATTTTTAAGCTCCTCTAAGTTCGTTGTGTTTGAAATTAAAAATGCATAGTTTTCCAGTAAATTGACTTTGAGAAATTCCAAATTTTAGCTTTCGACGAAGAAGAACTAACCTATAATAAATTATAGCTCGGTTAATATTAGTCTTAATTAAAAAAACGGTTTTGTTTATTTTTTCAAAAGGTGCATTTTTCTTAAATTTTTCTACCAATTTTTGTAACACTTTGCCTTAAAGGATTATTTTCAGTAATCTGTATTTAGTGTCGTTTCTGTCGTATTTCGTACGCCCATGATATCCGTACGATTCTTCTATATAGCCACATCCCGAAGGTTTCAAGTTTTTTCTCCATCGCTTCAGTGACTGTCCATGATTCAACTTCGTAGTATAATATCAAGAAGATATAACATCGTAGGAGCCTTACTTTATCTCCAGATGAAGGTTATGGCTTTTAAGAAGTTTAGCCATGATGTTAAATAGACTCCTAGCCTTCTCCATTCTACATTTTAGTTTTGTGAGTGACCCCATTGTTCGTTTACTATTGTTCCAAGATAGGTAAACTGTTTTACTCGGTCCGCTAGTGCATTAGTGATAAGCAGTTGGACGTCTCTAATTTTATTTTTACTGATAATCATAAATTTAGTTTTTGATATGTTTACTTGTAATCCAAATCTTTTATTTACTTCATTAACTTTGTCTATTAGTTTCTGTAAAGTGTTTAAACCGTCTGCAAAAATGACGATGTCGTCTGCATAGCTGATGTTGTTAGGCGATCTCCATTTAAAAGGATTGTATGTTCGATTGCATTCGAAGATATATCAAAGGCTATGGAAGAACATAAAAATCATCTTACAGTAGTAGTTGGAGATTTCAATGCCAAACTGGGTAAAAAACTAAACAAAGAATAAACTAAAGTAGGAGATTTCGGGTTTTATGGTCAGAGAAATGATAGGGGTAATACTTTGATGAACTACCTAGAAGAAAAGAATCTATACGCGATGAACTCCTTTACAAAAAGAAGCCTCAACGAAAGTGGACATGGATCAGCCCTAATGGATCCACAAAAAATGAGATCGACTTCATGCTGTCAACGGAACGATATATCATTAAAGATGTAACAGTTCTTAACAGATTCACAACAGGTAGCGATCACAGGATGGTCAGAGCAAAAATTAGTATTGACGGCAACTATGAGATGAAAAGAAAAGTAAGTAGAAACTGGAATCTAGTAGATAGAAACAAACTAGGGCAATATAAAGAGATATACAAAGACCTATTAAAAGAACAACTTACCCAAAGACTAGACAGTGACGATAAAGATATAGACAAAATAGACCACATACTTACAGCAACAATGATTACATCAGGAACAGAAATAGCAAAGAAGGATCTAAGAACAACTATATATCAACAGAAACAAAGAAGCTGGATGGATAAAAGAAGGAAACTGAACGAAGAAGGCAAAAGGAAATTTATAGAATATGTAGAAATTAATAAAACAATAAGCAGAATGATAAAAGAAAATAAAAGAAAAAAACAAGAAATAAAAATAGAAGAAGTAATACAAAACAACAAAAATATGAAATGCTTAAGGCCGAAATTAGGTAAGTTTGAAATAAACAAAATAAAAGATGTAAATGGAATAGAAACAAACGTTAAAGATGACATCATAAATATAATCTATCATTTCTACTCAGAATTATATAAAACAAAAAAGGAACCACCAGAAGAAATTAAAAACCAACTTAAGGTCAAAATAAAAAATGTCAACTCAGAGCAGCAGCCCGAAATAAGCAAATCAGAAATAAAGAAGGCATTGAAAGAAATGAAAAACAACAAATCGCCTGGAAAAGATGGAATAACTGCAGAGATGCTGAAATATGGTGGAAAAGTGGTAATTAATACTCTACATTCCCTTTTTAACAAGATATTAAAAGAAAAAAGAATCCCAAACAACTGGAAGGAATCAGCAACCATTATCCTACACAAGAAAGGGGATGAAGCAGATATAAAACACTACCGTCCTATAACACTCCTTAATGTAATGTATAAACTCCTAACAAAAATTTTAACCAATAGATTGACGACAAAATTCGATGGATACCACTCGAAAGAACAAGCTGGTTTTAGAAAGGGATTCAGCACAAGTGACCAGTTACTAAGTATGAAAATACTTATAGAACGAGAAAATGAATACCACATTCCTCTATATATTGCGTTCATAGATTTCGAAAAGGCTTTCGACAGTGTCGAACATTGGGCAGTGAAAAGTTCTTTGATTTACAGCCGAATTGACCACAGATATACGGAACTAATAACCAATATATATATATATATATATATATATATATATATATATATATATATATATATATATATATATATATATATATAAGGAAGCCAAAACAACAATTAAAGTATATGAAGGAACAAAATCATTACAAATAAGTAGAGGCGTTAGACAGGGTGATACAATATCGCCGAAACTTTTCAATCAGGCTCTTGAAGATACTTTTAAAAGATTAGAATGGGAAAAAAAGGTATAAAATTTGTGGACAACGCTTGAACCATCTAAGGTACGCTGATAACATCGTATTGATAACCGATAAAAAAGAAGAATTATTTGAAATGATGAAAGAACTGGACGTAGAAGCTGGAAAGATAGGCCTTAAAATGAATTACAGCAAGACCAAAACTATAACAAATATGAACAACAAGATGAAATAGAACAAGTTAAGGATTGTAAGTATATCTTGGTCAAACTATAAAACTTAACAAAGAGAACCAAACAGCAGAGATCAAGAGACGAGTTAGACTGGCATGAGCAGCATTTGGTAAACTAAGCTACATTCTTAAAAACAAAAGATATCCACAGCATCTTAAGACCAAAGTATATAATCAATGCGTACTCCCTGTTCTTACTTATGGTTCCCAAACGTGGACATCTACAAAAGCAAACATGGACAAAATCATAAAAACCCAAAGAGCAATGGAAAGACAAATGTTGCACATAAGACTAATGGATAAGAAGAGAAACGAGTGGATAAGAGAGAAAACAAAAGTGAGGGATGTTAGACAAGAAGTTGCAAAATTGAAATGGAGATTTGCCGGACAAAATATGAGACAAAAAGAAGAACGATGGAGCAAAATTCTTGAAACAAAGTTGGAGACCGTGTGAATATAAACGAAGCAGAGGAAGGCCCCAAATGAGATAAGCAGATGATATCAAGAAGCACGTGGGCTCTAGACGGATGACTGTAGCGACAGACAGAGAAGAATGGAAAAGGATTGGGGAGGCCTATGTCCAAAGATGAACCGAAGAAGGCTATTTAGATAGATAGATAGATGCATGTTAGCAATTTACCAAGGCTTCACTAAATATTTCTTCTCAATATAGGTTGAATAATATAGGTGAAAGAATACATCCTTGTCTAACGCCTAGCAGAATCTGGATCGCTTCCGTCGGTTTATCTCCAAGATTTGTTCTTATTGTGGCTGAT